AATTTGACTCAATGCACAAATTTACAGAATCTTAATTTAGCTTAAAGCGGGGTAGTCGTCATCTACGCATGCGTCAGGTGGCCATAACGTGTCATTGTTTACAAATAAGCGTTACCCATGAGCCTTTGCGTTCTTAGCGTGTGTTGTTATTGTCGATTGGGACTCAATTCCCGCGCGTGCGCAGGTGACGACACTCCCGCTTTAAGTGTAAACAATCTCATTGTGAGAATTGAATATACTTTATTTTAATTTGGCGACATCTTGAATTGCCGAGGCTGCGAACTAGTTAAACTAACACCAAGCTATAAATACATGTTTTACAATATATTTTCTATGAAGGTATATTCTAGTTACATTTTTGATGTTGCGGCGGTACGCCTTACTCAGCTCTAAATCCCTCCGCCAGGGGGAGGGGAGTCACAAAAGCACCCAGAATGCAATTTCCTCTATTTTATAAGTATATTTCGGCAACTGACGTCATGCTTGTTAAACGCGGACGGGGACTAGGTCACACAGGCATTCGCATAGCCTTTGTTTTCGTGCCACTACATGGGAACTAATCGTTGAGAGACAATACACAGCGGAGATTACAGATAATTTATTTATATTGATACATACATACATGTAAACAAATCTTTATTTTGAAATCAGTCTCATCAAATTCCAAACGTATGGTACGTTTACAGATGCTAACCCAAACAACTCGGGGCGGGGGTATCGTGTAAATTAACGGCTATCGTTTGTATTTCCTACACATGTGAATCAAATGACTGCCAGTGGTGTCGTAGTGGGACCTGCAGTTTAGCCAATATTCCGTCTTTTATCGCGGAATGAGTCTGTAATTGTACACGTTGTCGGGGACGTACACCTATAAACTGTTCGGCCCAGTAAGGTGTAACAGTGAGGTACATAATGTGGCCCCACCCAAATCACATAACAGTCTATACAATTTTCAAAAACCATAAAGTTCATTTACTTCACTTTCAGTGTTCAATCACACGTACTCCAAAAATGACTGTGTTGGGGAGTTACTCAAAATATTGCTCTCAGCACAGATATATATACTACACTATCTGTATAACATGAAGAACTGATACTAAAAGCAAAGACTCGTCAGTGATTATATCTCAGTTTTACACGTTCATTTCAATGATATTTTAGGGTTGGGTCATTTAAAGTAATTATATTTAGGCCACGAGCACGCCAAGCCATGCAATTGTTCTTTACCTAAACATTCTTTACGATTTTTTTCTCTCTAGCATAAGATATAAAAATGTTTTTTCTTTGTTTCAAAGTTTCTGTTTTCAGGCACAAATACTGTGATAATCGCCATACATTTGATATGCCAACAATAATATACTAACACCAAGAGAAATTTCTTTTCAGAACTGCCATACTATTTCAAAGTTTACCTCTTGAAAGCAAGTAAGTAATCAACAACTTTTTTTTAGTTTAATATCGAAGTTACAACCCACATGGAATATTCTCCAATAACCACTACCTTTGCTGATCCAGTTGTCAATTATGCTTTTGATTACTGAACCTACTTAACAAACAGAACTATACTGAAGTGGAAATGCACTAAGTTTCTTTGATCTTAGTATATTTTCAGTGCCTGGTGCGTCAAATGTAAGAATGCATTACCGACACAGATAAGAATTGCAAATACAAACTTGGATGGGAATACATTGCCAACTTATGCAGATGGGAATGCATTGCCAACTTATGCAGATGGGAATGCATTGCCAACTTATGCAGATGGTAATGCACTGCCAACTTATGCAGATGGGAATGCATTGCCAACTTATGCAGATGGGAATGCATTGCCAACTTATGCAGATGGGAATGCATTGCCAACTTATGCAGATGGGAATGCATTGCCAACTTATGCAGATGGGAATGCATTGCCAACTTATGCAGATGGGAATGCAATGCCAACTTATGCAGATGGGAATGCATTGCCAACTTATGCAGATGGGAATGCATTGCCAACTTATGCAGATGGGAATGCATTGCCAACTTATGCAGATGGGAATGCATTGCCAACTTATGCAGATGGGAATGCATTGCCAACTTATGCAGATGGGAATGTATTGCCAACTTAGGTAGATGGGAATGTATTTCCAACTAATACCGACGAGCATGTATTGCAACTAACTCACACAGCTGGGAAAGTATTACAAATAGCTCACACAGATCAGAATGTATTACAAACTCATACAGATCAGAATGTATTGCAAACTCACAGAGATCAGAATGTAATACAAACTCACACAGATAAAAATGAATTACAAACTCACACAGATAAGAATGTATCACAAACTCACACAGATAAGAATGTATCACAAACTCACACAGATCAGAGTGAATTACAAACTCACGCAGATAAGAATGTATCACAAACTCACACAGATAAGAATGTATCACAAACTCACACAGATAAGAATGTATCACAAACTCACACAGATAAGAATGAATTACAAACTCACACAGATAAGAATGTATCACAAACTCACACAGATAAGAATGTATCACAAACTCACACAGATAAGAATGTATTACACACTCACACAGATAAGAATGTATCACAAACTCACACAGATCAGAATGAATTACAAACTCACACAGATAAGAATGTATCACAAACTCACACAGATAAGAATGTATCACAAACTCACAGATAAGAATGTATCACAAACTCACACAGATAAGAATGTAATGCCAACTCGTACAGATCAGAATGTATTGCAAACTCATACAGATCAGAATGTATTGCAAACTCATACAGATCAGAATGTATTGCAAACTCATAGAGATCAGAATGTATTGCAAACTCACACAGATCAGAATGTATTGCAAACTCATACAGATCAGAATGTATTGCAAACTCACACAGATCAGAATGTATTGCAAACTCATACAGATCAGAATGTCTTGCAAACTCATACAGATCAGAATATATTGCCAACTCGTACAGATCAGAATGTATTACAAACTCATAGTCAAAGAGAATTTTATTTGTAAAACCAATATAGGGCAATGTTATTTATTTTAGCGCAGTATATATACAACTGACATATCAGTTATTTGCAATATTCCTAATTTTTGCAAATATCTCAATAATAGTTAAGACTGGTGCAAACAAAAACATCAACTTAGTGTATGACATTCAGCGCATCGAAATGCGAAAATGCTTAGTCGTCTCTGATGTGTAGTCAGTAACATCCTAAAAGATGATTCAAACGTTTAATACTCTATGTAAATTTTGTAATTAAGCCTTCACTATTATCTTTTGAGAATGATATATATGAAAAGGGTTATACATGGGGAATAATTGCAAACGTCAAAATTATTAGGGATTTAAATATGTATTTTATTTGTCTGAAATAATAACTCTGCCAAAAAATACTCCATTTGTTTGACTGAATTAATTTTAAAAACTTGGCATTGACATCAAACATGGTAGGTTACTGGTGCACGGCATTTTGTTTCGCGTTTAGATTTCAAATAGCCGATCGGTAGCCATTTTTTTCACAATTGTTCTATCCGTTGCTCAGAAATATTTCGATTTAAATTTGATAATAATGGGCTGCATTTTGATGACCTTTGATCCACTAGTGGCCATTATTTGTCCCACACTTTTGTCCTGTATGTTTCTCATGCCATACCTGGGTTGATTTCATTCAAACTTACCATAAAACAACACACATGTTTTGGTCTGCAGTTTCATTCATCATGTCAAAACTAGTCTATGCGTGGGTTATACACTGGTGTACGATGTGAGAATCTTATTTCTATAAAGCTCGCTTTGAATTAACACAATCTGGAAAAGGTGTCATTTGAAGTATCACCATATTGTCAACATGCTGAATATAATCGCACGCATTTCGTTATGTTTAATTGATATCGTCATTACAATATAGAGAACAGGGACTAGAGGACTAGGACAATGACTTGTTCTATTTTGATTTATACATTATGAATTGTGTTATGATTACCATACTGAAATAGTTTTTATCATTATTTCGTCGTTTTGATTGATCATTCATTCATGTTTGTACGTATCATTGACGAATGGAACAGCTCGACAGAATATAAATTTAATAATTGTGATAAGGCTGTAATTTTATTATTACTTTCCTCATTGATTTCTAATGTGGTCTACTTCACATTAACTTTACATTTGCTGTTACAAACCATCTGATGAATCCTCATAACATGTAATATTAAATTCAGAACAAAATAGTTTTTGATTTGTGGATCACTTACAGAAAATGCAGTATATATTGATAGACAGTTCACCTATTTTTTTCCCTGTTAATGTGGCCTCAGTTGTTTGAAATATGCTATAAAATGATGAAGTTACCAAGCAATGCAAGCTACAAGCTGATTACGGATTTCATTATGCTCACTGGGTACGTAAATAAAGTGCAACCACTGAATTTGTTGGTTTACCTTTAAATATGAAGTGGAAATGTATAGATTGAAACATTTTTGTTTGAAAAGGGCATTTTTTCAGTTGTTGGTGGATTAAATTTCCATTTATTTCCTAAAACACATGTTTGCAACTTTTTTCTTTTTCACTGTCCCTATTTGCATTTTTTCTAGCAAATGTACGTTTGCAAAAGTTTTTCCCAAATTTGTAATTTCAGGTGATTGGAAGGCATCGAACGAGTCACCAACGGTAATAGTGCAAGTCGCGCCCAGGTCAAACCTCATATTCGTGATTTCCATTAGAAGAGCGCAACGGATTGTGAGATATTCAATGTTTATCAACACAAACGTCTCACATACGCGGCGCGACGACTACCGTTCGCGTGTAAAATATTATTTACATGTTTTTTTACATGAAATTCGAACACGCGCTGCGCAACAACCACTGCGCCTTAATTATTTACATGATTCCTATTATTGAAATGTACACCTCTGACAAGAATTTGGAAATTTATCATGGTCTTGAACTGTATTGAAAGGTAAGACAAAGAGACATACAATGTTGATGTAACATGTCAACGTTTTATTTGATATTATTGTAACAATAATGAATGCAACATGAACTGGTATATTTTTTTGAAAACATGGCAGTTTTTTTTTTTGGGGGGGGGTATCACAAGTAATGACTACTTTACCAAATAAAAAACATTTACAATTCATTAAGATCGTCGATTGCTGTTACACCTTAAAAGAGAAACTAAAAAAAAAGTTTCTTGTGGGTAACTAATACTGCACAGTGGTGTAACGGACTCGACTGGTGTATATTTCAAGTAAACAAACGTCTTACATAACACCAAATTTTTCAGCAACATTTCCGCCAAAAACGTGTTTCTGCAAGATTGTACGCTTCGTTTGTACCCGGGAGATCCTCAAAATTCAAACAAGAAACTGGTACGGCACAAAATCGTGAATCGCCGGGCTCGAAGAACAATTATAACTATAACGCACTCAATCACGTTTTATGGCAAATATAAGAAGATTCTCCTGGCTAAATATAAATGTACACAATCAATTCAAATCGTTTTGACTGTACATACGGAGCTAACGGTCTGATAACGAACAGGTTATGCTGTCTGTCTGTCTGCATAAACAACTCGCATATGATACCAGTAAATGAACGGCCGTAATTCAAACACGTACATATGTTATTTACAGAACACACAAACCGACCACGACACCCAGTTTAAATGTCAAAGGAATAACTGAACGGCGACCTAGTACATTCGAAACCAGCTCCCCGTCAAAATGTCCAAAGACGGTGGTACGTTATAGCAACCGGTAGTGTATGCTTCCGTCGCCGCCATGAACCTATAATATTATAGTTCGAGGCATCGTGCAAATTGTGAATATGCCTCAGATGTATGTGTAAATGCTTTGAAAACCGTCAACTTGACAGAAAATGAAGGGAGTTTAAAATCACAATATTACAAAATCAAAAATATATAAAGTTAACTTGCTCAATATGAACCCAATGTAAATCCCATCCTGGAAATAAAATACATAGTGTAAATATGGATAATACAAAGTTGTCGAGTCAGGACTTATGAAATCGTCTAACTAGCTTCATAGGTGCACACCGTTTTCAATGTGGCTGATGGTGTACTGCATTTTGGTATCCAGCTCATTTGCGTTCTGGTCCTTTTCTTGAGGCTCCTTGCTGCGCGACAAGTCAAGGGCGCCACCAGAGTATTCATTGTTACCTGTATCTTTAACCAAGTCATTCAATATATCTTTGACCCCGGCTTCCACGACGGGTTTTTCTTCTAATTCTTTTTCACAATTATCTTGACCAAGTTTAGTTGTGATCGAATCCTTTTCTAGTTCATTTTGGTGTTCTGTATTTTTCAACTTCATCTTTTTAATTACGTCATTTTCTTCTTTCGCGCACTCCTCGTTTTTCCCGTCAAATTGTGTTACATTCGCTTTGCGCGGGTTGTCTGTTGCCACGGCGACATTGTCCTGTACCATTATAAGTTGTTCTTGACGCGATTTGAAAAACCCAATGTCCGTGCTGCTTTCCCGGATAGTGATCGTGCCCCTCAAAGTTGTCACATCCGTGATGAATACATTGTTAATCGTAATCAAATCAACCTCGTTTTTCGTCTGCCAGTCACTAATTTGCGTTAAAATCCTCCTTGTCGGCGACTTCGAAGCGCCCTCTGTCCGAATACATGGCACTTCATTGGATTTTTCAGATATGGCCACGTTTTCTTGATCTGACGAGATATCAACACTTGGGCTCAATGGCTGGCAGTTGAGTGACCTCTTGTTGACCTCCTTTAAGTTAACAACGTTATTGTCGGCACATTGAATTCTGCGCAATTTCAGGCGTTTCCATTTCCCTGAATGTGAATTGTTGGCCCGAGAATCGCCGAATGACGTCATTATAGTCTCGTGTGGCATTTTAACATCAGGGTTCACTACGCATTGGTCGTTATTTTTTTCGACATGAGCATTACACAATTGAAGGGTGGTATGGGTTTGACGATTTGTCACGGCCACGTCACACGTGTTATCTGGTGTTGTAACAGTCTGCACCTCACCTCTGACTGAACGGTCGCCGCCATTACAATGTACACTGAAGCCCACGTGCGCCGTGGCCAGCTGGCATACATTCTGTGAATCAGACACGCCATTTTCTATTCTTTTCATACCTCCCATATGTTCATCGGCACCGCCCCCGTCCTCGCCTTGTATCACCTGTACACGGATGCTACTACTATCGTCATCGGCCATTCCCTTGCTCCCCGGCACAGCTGACACCATGTCATTACCGCTTTTTGTAACACGCTCTTCAATAACACTCGACATGCGTTCGGTGGTATCCTATACGGGGGGAATCGAATACAAAATACGATAGATAAACGTATACAAATAACAGATAATGATCTTGGGACAGAACGTTGTATAGTTTTTGAGTTTTAACTTACATGGCTGGGGTTCCGTCTTTTTCTTGGTCGCCGTCCTTTGCGACATTCGCCAAATTCACCCTGGTTTCTGTACACATTCGCAAAAAAACAAAACAACAATTTCTAAAATACGAATATATATGTACATGTATATATCAACAGGGATCACAGAATCATCGTATATTCGACCATCACGCAAATTTCACGCCTCTGAAACGTGTCCTTTATTTACAATGAAAGCGAAATAACAATTTGTCCAAATGACTAACTTATTGAAATTATTCACCTCTCACTGTAAAATTCAAATATAAGCCTCTCATCGAGAATGTTCTCTCTGGGTTCCCATGTGTTATACCTACATCGAGAAAAAATACATATAATATACAATCATTTTAACAAATTCTTCACAAATTAATAATAAAATAAAAGTAGTATACATTAAAATGATTGACTTACTGGTTCGGCCAATCTTTCCACTTAACCAGATACTCTATCCTCCCCTGTAAGGAAAAAAAAACACATACCAGGTATATTAGTTGCCATACGACCACGATCGGAGCAGACCAGCGGTCAATTAAGTATTCACAGCCAACCACATGATGCGCCGCTACTAAGTGAAGTGTGCGTTTACAGCGGTACATTGAACCTACCCGACGATATCGTTTCCGTATTATACGCTCCACGGCGAACACCTGATCTCCTAGTTCTGATAACTCCATGACTTCGAACTGCTGTGGCGGCTTTACGTCTTTACGACAGCGACTGGCGTGTTACACAGGCTGTGTACGAAGACTGCCTACTCATGTAAACCAATATGTACTGCGTGCTCAATATACAGTGACTGCAACGCAATGCATATCCCATAATAGGCGTGACGTCACGGCGTGGATTGTTTGTGTCATGTATATTCCTATTACTGTTACTAAGGGGACCATAAGCTGATTCATCACCGTCTATTTTCGACGATTCCTCCTACATATCACCTGTAAATCTAAGAATAAAAAAAAAACATAAATCATACAATTAAGAAAAATATTTCTTAATAATGAAAGGAAAAAATCGTCTGCTTCTCTGTCACGGCCGTCGCGTTTATGAATGAATGTTAATTTAACCCTTTCCCACATTCAAGAATGAAGAGGAAAACCAGACACGAAAGAAAAAGAATTCGTCTCGGTGAAACATCGATAACTAAACCGCAAAATTAGAATGTGTGTGAGGACTATTTTGCGGTTTCGACCACTCAATGACTCGATTACACGGATACAAAAGAGTTGACCTTTATTGAAAGTTCAAATCCTCGATCATGACCGATGTTTCAATGATAATTCAGCCGAATAAACATACTAAAACACTGCCTGCTAATTAACGGACACGTTTTATACTTACTCCTACTCGTGCCGATTTTCGAATTGGCAAGACCGGTCCTGTTCTTACTTGCTCCTGTATTGTTTTCAGTGACTTGTTGTTTTGTTTTTTGTCGCGCAATGTCCCTTTCACAAAATGTAAAATAAGTCTCTATGTGAAATTGAATCGTTAACTAAAACAATACATACGTACCCGCAATAGTAAGATACCTCATTTGAATAAACATTAATTGCAGTGGGGTTAATATTTATTATACATTTATTGCGTCGTTTGCATTTAATAAGAATGGCATGAATCGGTAATTTTCAAATTATATGTTGCGTTTTCAAAGTTCTTGGAGGAAGACAACGTGTGGGCAAGAGCACTAATGAGCTGGAATGGCGCCAAAGATACGAAACATGTGCAAAGCCAGTGCGTATCATGTTAAACCTTTGCTCTCCTGTGTCCTAAATTAATTTAAAACTCATGGGAACAATTCAAAATCAGTCTGTTTTCAGTTTAACTGTTGAATGCATACACACAATTCTAGTGCACGTATGATAAATATGATAGGTGTGGTGATGACCAATTTGTGACGTAGTTTAAGGCGTCGTTGTTGACGCCCATCTTTATGTGTGTTTTGACGAACCGGACTGTTTTTTTAAAGTTTTCCAATTTTAATAAAAAATAATTTCATGACAGTGTCTTCCGCGAGTACTAGTATATATTGTACACCAGCTATTTAAGCCTTGTTGTTTGTAATAGTTGATTCCACTTTGAGGGAGCTGGGGCAGTAATTTTTAATCAGTTTGTTTCGAAATGTGAGCTGTTTTTACGGCGCTATATTATCAATATAATGAAAACCACTCTCCGTCTAGCATTGCGTCGTAGAGGAAATTAAAAGTAAACAATACGAAATGTTAGAATTAGTCGTTTTCACTGTTATTCTATTTTGGTGAAAAGAAACTAATTACGCGCGTGATGTTCTTCTGGATACTCATAGCGCATCGTTCAGTTTATGTGGGTTTCGAAGCCGGCGGCATTCTCACTTTCCATGACAGACTCAAGAAATCAGCTGTTCATCATCGTCTTTACGGTCTTAAGATTGGCTAAAAATGTGCCGAGGTTAGTTTTAGAACCTATCGCAGTGCCAAGACATACTAAGGAGTTAACGCATACTCAGCTTATCCTGTGATCGGTATCGACACGGCGATGAATCATGCGAGTTCTTAAGATCTGCCTCCAGTTGTTATAAAAAAAATCCGAATCACACGTGACAAAAACGCTATTAATAGTGAATCACGCGAATTCAGACAACGCCCTGTCACGATGTTATTTCTATTTCGCTAATAAGTATTAAATAGCTTACTGACTAAGTCGCTTTGTGTAAATATCACCGGACGATTCCACGGACCGCCGCGTGGTGCAGTTGATCAACTATATAATCACACTTCTGATCGAGAATGTCATATTTACTGTAATAGAATCTCAGCATCTACGTAACGAAGTTCATTTGCCCGAAATTCAAGCGCGCGCTGCGCGACGACCGCCGCTCTTCAATTATTTTTGTTAGAGCAGCATCAATATAATATATCCAATTTCTTTTTTGATAGAAGACAAAAACGAGCTGTTCCAGGTGGAACGTATTATGCGCGATTGCCGTTCGTTTGAGACAATTTCCATAAAGGGATAAGAAATGAGATGAAAGTTCGAATACCATAAATAAAGGCAATTAAAACATATAATGGATTTCGACTGGTGAGGTCGAATCAGTTATTCATTGTAAACATTACAGTCGTAAATCATAGCCCAGTCGGTTGAACTTTCAACTATCATCCAGCGTGCGTGTCCGTTGACACGTGGACTAGTGCCACGAGGAGAAAGATTAGAGATATTTCCACTCTCAACAGAATATAATAATTTATGTCAAAACCGACTGTTGCCTACGTCAGGACGACGAACTGAAGACGGTTCGTTAAGTTGTGTACATGGAGTCACACTTGTCACGTGATAACACGGTCACGTGACTTGGTACTAATATATGGTAGAGTGAATAAATGATTCATTGGCCGTCTTCGTGACCATCGTGGAGTTATTTGTACGACTGCTCCATAAATTCTAGATAATTGATGTTTCTCTTATCGCATTGTCTATCTCAGCCATACGAGCTAGTTCGAGAAAATGCGGAAAATATAAAAGCACTACGAATTCTTGATATCTTGCTGAGCGAAAGTTCCAATCAAATAAACGACCAAAATTGGGGTTAGTACCCGAACATGTTTCCATAGCACCAATTTCTTTGTGATTTCCTTCATAATTGGCGTTGGTGAACGGTGAATTGGCGGCTATTTTAAATTTTGTCACGTAATCACTGTTCCTAAAGTAGCCGTCCCATCCTTAATAGTGAAAATATGAAACTACCATATCACGTTTTTGTCATGCGAAAGAATACGACGGGTGGGGTAAATGAGAGAGGCGGGGTTTGGTGTACGTCGCCATTTTAAATATTACGCGTACGCTAGTTAATAATTATTATTTTATGTTTCAAATCCCAAACCATGGCAAAACTCTTGACATATTGGACCCTGGCCTACAGTGGCGGATCCAGCAAAATTTATTGGGGGGGGGGGCAAGCTTCGCTTAAGATATACGGAGCGAAAATCGC